GGTCAGCGCGTATCAGTCACGAGGGAGTAATGAAATTGTATGATATTGGCAGAAACTTTTTATCCATTAGTCATAGCTACGGATTGCAAGACGAATTACCTATATACCCATCAATGAGTTATGTTCAATCTCTTTAGTTAGACTTGGAAGCATCCCCTTTTCTTCGAATACGTCATACGCATCTCACCGTAGTAAATTATGATGCCCCAAGCCTTGCGCCTAAATACCTGACCTAAGGAGTGGCCCCCTTAATCCAATGGGTATCATCCGTCATTAATGAAAGTTCCATAGCCCAAAACCTCCTGTAGCTCAAGCCTTCACCATGCCTTATCGACCCTAGGAGGATACCGCTGGAGGTGCCCTCACTTTTGATGACAACAAACTAGGAACTCCAGAACTGAAGTCGGTAAGTCCGCCCAGGTCATTATACTGTTCCCACTCGGGCTGAACATCGTTTGCCATCCAGCTCGTGGCCTTGACTTCCATAACAGCTTTAATATAGTCCCACGACGTGGGGGTTTTCGGGGCGGGCATCTCGATGTGCGACTCCACGCTGTTCCCCTTACGGATATTCAGAGGCGCGGGCTCCATGGATTTTTGCGAGTCGCTATCGATGCTCCTCGACCGCCGCCTGATCAGCCCGCAGGAGACTTCAAATGGGGTTTCATCCTGCAGCTTCCGTCGGATTCTAGTACATGAAGACCCCGGCCGGCGTGGATTCGGCTCCTGGCTGGTGCAGCCCTTTCCATTCCCTGTGCTTCCACTGCTACCGCGACGGCTGTTGCTACATAGATACGCGGATGCCTGCGCCAGGCTCTCGTAGACGGATGTATCTGAGGTCTTGGCAACACTGCTTTCTTCAGATTTCCTCGTGTCGGAACTGCTAGAATAGCGAGAAGGCGATGTGGAAATCGGTTCTTCTTCCGATATTGCTGCGCGCAACGTTGGTGAAGGTAAATCTACCAACGAGGCCTTGGTGTCGTTCGTGCCGTTTCCATAACCTTGGACAACAATCTCATGGTACTGTGCTTGACGGACCGGATGTGATATCTTACCAGGGGGCGGCTTGGTAAGCTTGGTCATCGAACGTCGAGTCGAGAGACTGAAAGACAGGTTGCTTGTAAGACTGCCCCTCCAGCTTGTAGCCCTGCGAAGTCGTGAACCTCCATCTATGGCTTTACTGGTGTTACTTTGGCGGTGCCTGAGAGCTAAGTAGTCAATATCAGGTTTAATCTCGAGGCTGCGCTGATGCGGAACCGGGCTTCTCATGGAGACCCGATCCAAGTTCGATACCGGAGAATTTCGGACAATATGATCCGTTTGGCTCCGAACAAGACTACAGACAGGTCGCTCTTCATCCCATGGTGGTAAGTCAGCAGTGGAGATGCAAAGATAGTACGGAGCGTCCGTGGCGTCGCGAACTTCAGCCGGGACTTCAGTTGCTTGGCGGAGGGCTTGGTAAGTCGCATAAATTAGTATCCAGCGAACTTTACGACTATCCATAGGTCCGAGGTTTTCAAATTTGTCTGCTTTTGTGGGCAAGTAGACAAGATCTTCTTCGAATTGACGATATACCCGTACCAGACCGTTTTTAAGGAGGTTAGCCTTCTGATTCGTAGCCGTCACCAGAGCTGCGTGTGTGTTTTCTTTCCGCTTCCTATCCGATTTTATTGGTGTGCCCAACCACGATATTCTTTTCGTATTCTCTTGCATTACCTTTGGTAGGAGCGGAAGCGGGTGGAATAGGGGTTTGAATTCATGCCTTGTGTCGAATGATTTGATGCTCTGCCATGTACAGATCCCCCCTTCTGCTAAGAACGGGGTGTCCTGGCTTGTATCAAACGTCAGATCCACTAGGTAATTGAAAAGAGCTTCGAAGTCATCTCTCATTGTCCGGAAGACTTCCACCTCGAATATTCTTGTTTGATAATTGATTGACGGAGGTGGGTAAGAACCAAATTTAGCAGCATAGAAATCATGCAACAGAGTTCGAAACCTTTCAAGATGCGCTCGGGCGCCCGTATACAAGCCAAGATGTGCCTCTGACAACTCGTATTGAAGGAAAGTTGCTACCATGTTGGCGCTCTGTCCCAATTTCAGATTCATCTCAACACGAGCACAACGGATGAGCTGCCGGGTCCCGGGGGATATGAGCTAATTCACGTTAGCAACCTATCTTTCAGACGGAACGAAGCATATGCACAAACCTGATATTCAGATGAGGCAGGTAGCTGATCGCTCATACCGCAACAATGTGCGAAGGCGTTGACATAGAGGTCTCTTAGTTGAAAGACTTCTGCCAGACGTAATATAGCTAGAGCGTGTGTCGGGTTACTTTTGAAATTAAGATAGCCTTCCTCATCCAGATAGTTCATTAAGTCCTGAACATTGTCCACATCCCCAGTACGGAATTCATGCATACTATGCATGAGGGTAATCAGAGAACCCCCAAGATTCTCTCCGACCATGGATCTGCGATACACATAAGCAATGAAGTTGCGAGTTGCTAGATGATATTTATATGATTGCAGCTTGTCTGATCGAGGCGGTGCTGGGATGAAGAGCTCAATCCGACTCCGCCTTGCTGGATCAACATGTTCATCTTGAGCATGGCCTGTTGATGTTGTTGGATTTCGGCCCATAAACCTATCGATAAAAGGATAACAGCCTGCGTGTAGAAGCCCAGAGAATGGCACTTTGAAAGCAGGGCCTCTACGGCTCTGCCCTTGACCATAGAGATGAATGTAGCAGTTCCCATCCCGATACCATAACTCGGGATCCTATGTTAGACATGTGAGCATTTAGCATTCATGAATAGGAGATGGTTTAGAGACATACCCTTTTCAGGTTATCCCACGGTTTGCTTGACATGGAGGCGCCGTCCCATCTCTTAACGCTGGGCATCCGAGATGACCTCATTTCCGCAGTCTTTTCTGACTTTTTCGTCTTCCAGCCTCGCGACCTATTTGAGATGCCATTGTAAAGGGATAGCTCCCGTGTGAGCGACCCATCTGTCTGGTGCACAGAGCGGGTGGAAATGGGACGAGAGCGACTGCTTGCGTCGGCCATTGCGTGATAGTCACACCTATACTTTACGCAAAGCTTGGCCCCCAACGCCTAGTCTATGAACTATTGGAAACGAATCTCTAACGTTCCAAACCCCGTCCCAGAATAACCCTCACCAACCAAGGCTAAACAAATTACCAGTTTCCAAGGCGATTTTCCAGCAGGTCATAGCTGTGAACCTTGGGGTTTTGCCATGGCGTTGAATATTTGAACTGGAGCGAACATAATAGAGTGTTATGTATGAAGGCGTCAACCATCTTGAAATTCGCAAACTTTGTGAAAAGTAATAGGTAGGGAGTCCTTGGATGTATGTCGACGCCCTCCACGGCAGCCCGGTTACTCAAGCTCCTTATTCCGGAATTTGTTTTCTTTCGGGGACCTAAAACGCATGCATCTTGATACTAGCGCAAAGCATGATGTTGACGGAATCCGCTATTGGCGTGCTAGGCGTGGTCTATTGGCGATCTGTTGCAAGCCACCATCTGTACCAAGAGGTCGGATAGCATACCGGAGGCTCTATAATCCCTGTTTTGCCGGGATGCCCTTCTTAAGCATACATGATAATAATATCGTTCTCTTGTGGCTCATATGAAATGTGAATAACATTCTGTGCGCTCGCAGCATTTATTGCGCCCTGGTCTACTTTGGGAGCTCGACTCTGAGCTTGTACGGTAGATGCTCAATCAAGACCAACCTCGTTCATAGACGCCTACCCCTACAAACACGACATATTTCCATAGATATACGAAGGGACTGAACATATCTGAAAATCCATGAATTTGGGTATTATGGAAGGCTAGGTGGGTGCCACACAGAAGGCAAAGAATCTTGAGCGACCAATCCTTACATGATGCATGCAACCTTCGGCGTCCGACTGAAGAATTGAATTATCTTCATTCCATTTCACAACCTTATCTGTTAACCTCTTTTATAAGAGCATGTGACTGGTGGCCAACTTATCGGCTTAATTCGAACTTTGCTGAAGTGTCCTGACGGCTGGCTCATGTTTCTTTGGACATAGGTAAGATGTAGATGAATTACGGTAGAGGGGTGTGATAGAAGTAGATCGTGTATCTAACATGCTGGCTTCTAGTTGTAGCCAGCAACCTTGAGGGTAAGTTGGTTTCACAAGACGCCCGGGCTTGCTTCTATTGGAAATGCAATCCAATGCAGTTTGTGTGACGAATCTACGAAACTATCGTCAGATACCGTCGACAGAGAGTATAACGGTTCAAAGTTTAGTGCAGTGGCTTCTCCCTAAATGTGACAAAAACTTTGTTGGTGATTTTGCGTTCCCCATTCGCTTTGGGATGACAATACGGATGGCGACTGAGACAGGTCAATCCATGGATGGTCCTACTACTAGTGCCAGGGACGGCAGACTTGTCCTACGCTATGGTAGGACCGTTCCCGATCTCTATACCTTAGATAGGTACTACATTGGATATGTACTTAGTAGGACCAGTTCATTTCCGAGCCGTACATGTAATCGTCGTCACTTCCAGGTTCTCCCCCAAAAGCATCGAAATAACAAGATGGAAAGCATCTCTAGCGCATAGCTGATGCCGTGCTACCCAATAGAAGCTTACCATGCCGGGATGCTGTTCGTCTGGAATTTCTTAATGAAGGGCTAGATGAAGACTGTTTACGGACCTGACTATTGTGGTTGAATTCGCTAGGTTAATGAACATCTATGATAGTTGCAGCAAAACGGGCGCCTCGCTATGTGCTTTGCGGGACATAAATTTGGGTAGCTCGGACTCCTTTTTTGGTGTGAGGTAGTATCGCGAAAATGGTAGATTACGGCATATAGGTATGAGATTCGAATTTGAGGCTAATATAATTAATGCTAAATAAAACATGGATGCAAAAAGTATTTGGTGAAGGGTTACCTTCGTGTTAGAGGAGTTAGTAAATGTAGCAAAAATCAAATGCGACACCTGTGTGATTCGAACACACGCCCCCGAAGGGAATGCCTAGACTATCTGATAAATAGCAGGGCATCGCGTTAACCACTCCGCCAAAGTGCCTAGGTCACATCCAATTGCTTGATATGAATTTGGTTCCTTATTATACATTATGTAGGTACCTAACAAAAAAGAGGGAAGAATGCAGCCCTCTGCAAAGTTTCCCACTAATATTAGTGGCGACTAGAATCGGCCTTCACATATCTCTGAAGAGCCGCTTATCGATAAGAGCTGAAAGATGTCGGCTAAGCGATAATCTATTATTCCTATGGCAACAAAGAGCTCGATTAATCAAGCTACGACGTATAGAAGTTCCGATACCTTTTGACGCACCGACGCCCTAAGCAATATACCTGAATTAAGACTAATCAGTGATTTGAGCGGTGGTAGCCTTAGTATTGGGTTCGCAAAGCCAATATAGACAACGGCTGAAATATGCCACCCCGAGAGGTCTAAATGGCTTCGTTCGTTCCCTACACGTACATCCAATGTCCCTGTGTCGATTTGACAAGCCGATCCCGCTCGGTAGACGACGCGCCCTCGCCTAGATCCCAGGATTTACAAGACGAAGATGATGAGAGGACGTTCGATCCGCGCGCGCCGCGGTCAAACTACAGTTTATATCCTATAGAGTATTTGCTGTATTGCGATGTGTGCTCTCAGATCCGCTGCCCTCGCTGTGTTGCGGAGGAGATCGCGACAATCTACTGTCCAAACTGTCTGTTCGAGGTTGGAAGCAGTAGTCTGAAGACTGAAGGGAATAGGTATGAGTTCACATAGTCTGGTACCTGATACTAAGCGGCATCTGGCATGCGTAGTATTAACGCCTTTTTGCGCAGATGCACGCGTAGTTGCTTCCAATGCCCGATCTGCATTGGACCGCTAGCCGTCCAGTCCCTCGAAACATCACCCGAACCCTCGCTCCTAAGCGCCGAGGGCGCAAACCCCATGCCCACCTCCGGACCATGGATCCTAGCCTGCTCGTACTGCAACTGGAACTCGTCTGAGATCGGCGTCAAGTTCGACAAGCCGCAGGGCATCTTCTCGCAACTCCAAAGACTCCGCCACGGCGAGGATTTTTCCAAACACTCTACAGCAGGGGACGTTTCCCCGATAAAAGAGAGCGTCACGGCCGATACCGCTAAAGCGAGATTCGCGGCTCTGAAGTCCTTCTATAACACGCAGAACAACCTGAACTCCACGACTTCGGGCGCTCTCTCCGGCATAGGGGACTATGGGTTCAACTCGCCGGGAGCCCTCTCGCGCATCATGAACCTGTATTCGGGCAACAACCCTAGCGGTCTCAAGCCCAAAGCCAAGTCGAGCATAATGCGAGAAGCAGACTCCGCGAGCGAGGGCTTCCGCGTCGCGGACCTAGACGAGAGCGCCGCAATCACGAAGCTGCGGCAGGACGGCTGGGGCGGCACCGTGACAAGCGACCAAGCGAAATCGCAAGTAGAAGAAGGCGCGCGGTTCGCCGACGAGCTCTGGCCGATCCCGTACCTGCTGCGCACGAAGCGCTCGAAGCGGTGTCCCGTGTGTCGGCACATCATCAGCAAGCCCGAGTCCAAAGTGAGCAATACGCGGTGGCGCATCCGGCTCGTGGCCAACAACAACATCCCGTCCATCACCATCAAGCCGCTGAACCCGCCCACGCCCACGGGTCTCTTGAAGCCGAATCAAGCAGTGCAGTACCTCTTGACCTTCAAGAACCCCATCTTTGACGAGATCAAAGTCACGCTCGCGACCCCGGCTACTACCCCGGGCCGCTTCGCGTCCAAGGTGACGGTGCTGTGCCCTCAGTTCACCATTGATGCCAACACCGACACCGATATGTACTTGGACGACGTGCTCAAGGATGGAGACAAAGACGGTCGGCGGCGACGGGGCGACGATAGTACGCATCAGGCTGAAGCAGGCAAGATATGGGAGAGGGGACGCAACTGGGTTAGTATCGTAGTTGAGGTCGTCCCAGCATCACTCAACGTAGAGGAGCCGTCCGACTCGCCTAAGAAGGAAGACGAGTCGCAAGTGGACCCGGGCCCGCTGAAGGAAGACGAAGACATATTGGAGATACCCATGTTTGTACGATTGGAGTGGGAGGGCGATGTATCACAGGATCAAGTGGGCAGCACTACGGCGGGCAAGGAAAAGGACTCGAGGGAGAAGAAAGAACTGGCGTACTGGTGCGCCATCGGCATTGGTCGGATCAGTCATGAATAGCTAGAGAATCTACGATACCCCGGAAACATGTAAATGTCATGAAGAAGAGTCACGGATTATTAACGTAATTCATTAGTTGTGATTGTCATCATAATACCAGCTTGTTAATTAATCCACAAGCTATCTAGACGCCGTGCCAGTAACTTTTTTGGCCCACCAGGTTGCCATGCTGTCATTCCCAATGAAACATGGAGTAAATGCCAAACTTCCCAGACCCAGCCCAGATTGCATCCGCTTATCCCTAGTACTCGGTGGCACCAGACTGGGGGAACTCAAAGGTGACATTTCGGCCTGTCAGGCGGCGGTAAACCTCGGCGTAAGTGTCGAGGCGGTAATCGACGCCACCACGCTCCTTCTCGTCAAGGATAACCTTAAGGAGCTTGCTGTTGTCCTCCTTAGTTCGGAGACGCTTGCCGACGATCTCGACGGGGTAGACGAGGTCAGTCAGGATGGCATCGTGAACGGCAGTGAGAGTTCGCGAACGAGGTCGCTTCTGCTTGAGGGTGTTGCGCGAGCGGGCAGAACGCTTGGGTCGGGGTAAGATGCGGCGCGAGGCCAAGATCAGAACGTGGCGGTCGGAGAACTTCTTCTCGAGCTCACGGGTGAGACTATATATATGCGACTGATCGTTAGTAACTATTCTTGAGTGATTACAGAGTGATAATGTTTGAGCACTTACCGCTGCTGGACTCGGTGGAAGCCCTGGAGGGATGGGACGGGGACAAAGATGACAATTGCCTTCTTGCCGTGGCCAACTTCGATCTAATCAAGACCCAAAAGTCAGCAGGCGAGCTCCAGGACACATTATAAACTTGTGTTCCTTGGACCGCTTCCCGTCCTATTCCACTGATATTGCTAGATATATTCCTATGCCATCTATAGCGAACCCGTCACAGTTGGTTGCGACAACTGTAGACAAGTCCGTTTATAGCAAAGAATTGCACGATCGAGTCGAATAGGGTCGGTGTAAAGCGATCCCAAGTAGACAATCGGGAAGTAAATTATTCATTGGCTTCTCACCTCTCGGGCAGAGACGAACTGCAGGGGTCGGAGGGCAGCCTTCAGGTCGGCAGTGTTGGTCTCGAGGTCGTAGAGAGCATTGGCGATGCTAGTCTCGAGCTCCGACGGGTTCTGGCGCGACGGGCTGTTAGGCGCGATCTTGTTCAGAGCGGCACTCATGATTGCGGCTTTTGTTTTGTTAGTAGGATGGAACAAAGTCGCAAAGGAGTGGACGGCGGGATGGTGGGCTGGATATAATTGAAGTCGCGAGGTTGTTGAAATTACGGCTTGTCAAGAAATTTCATAGGAGAGTGGGTTTTGCGAAAATCAATTAGAGTTGTGGGCTATCCGCGCTCGGGCCACTCAGGGCTTTTTGAGCAAGCGATCTCTTAGAATGTACATACTGTGGGGTCACTCCCAGCTGCGGCTTAAAAGTGGCTTGAAAGTGGCTTGGTGACTGTTCAACAGGACATGGAACTAGTGGGGTACTTAGGTACATGGTGCTTATCGGCCGATGGGACAGGTGATAACATCGAACATTGTTACTCAAAGCCAACATCCAATGAGCATGAATTTGTGCTGTTTGTGTGTTTCACGAATCTCCCAACGCCTTACATGATAGACAATTTAATTCCCTGCAGTTGGTGTCACCAATTAGAACAATCATCTTATCTCCAGTTTTGTTCTCGCCAAATCAGTCTTGTGGAATACATAGGTCTGCTCTTCGAAGTTATCAGTATCATACCTTAGGTACCCATATAGCATCAGGTTATCTTGAAAGAAATCGACGTTGAAAACTTTCCAGCCCCCAACTTCCAAGTGCCTAGTCTGACTCGGCTGGATCTCGTGGAATAATGATCTACGCTTACGGAAAAGGTTCCATGCAAGCTCAGACGGATAGATGGGTAGATGGGGGCCAAATACTACATCAACCTCACCAACCAAAGCGAGCCTCGTGCAACCCTGCATCTCGCTTCTAGACCTTGAAGCCTTAGCTAGTCCGAGCCTCCCTCCGTTCCTACCGTATTTCCTTGCTGGTTAAGTTAGGTGTGGTGGTAAATGGTGATGTTACGAGGCTATATATCACCTTTAGACGAAATGATATGTCTCATTCGGCAATGAAATGCAGATTTGGCTGCAGAAGGGCTTACATATACGAAGCATCGCAAAAGCAGTTCGGGGATTAGGTAAGTTAGAGCCAGCCTTCTGGGGATGTCCACCGACGATGGTACATCCAATATCACTTGTACTGCGCCTCTGCAACGACCCAACATTCAGCCAATTATGTCCGAGTGATATCCCCAAATTAGAATGTCGATGCCATAGCTCGGAAGTAGAACCAACCTAACGCTTGCTTATTTTGACCGGAATCACTGCCACGGTAGCTAGTGGAGGATGATCTGAGTCGGTCCCGTGTCTGGTAATCAGTCTCATCAATCTTCATGGTTTGTTCGACAAGTCTTCCCATCCTTCGCTTAAGGCTTTGCTACCCAGCAACGGATTGGATCTACGTATCCCTTGGCTAGACCAAAGATGTCGAGGTTCCTCTTAAGACCTGTTGGTTGCTACTGCAGCAACCCCGCGAGGGATACTTCTTTCACTCCCTTTCAACTTTCTCTACAAACAGCCAAGCTCTTATTGTATATGTAATTCCTAATTTACCTACCTAATAACCAACTTGCTTCCGCGATGTCGGTCTCTCGCTCTGATCTTGGGTTATCGTGCCCATCAAAGGGCAAGTTCTATGTTTGCGATAGTGCAACGGTCCGCTTTATTGGGTGTTGCACAATCGATCCATGTGCAGATGGAAGCGGAAATTGCCCTCAGAATGATTTAGCGGC